AAGTATGCTGATCCTGGCCAAGCGGGGGGAGCGGAGGAGGGGCGAGAATCAGCTGCAGCACAGGCGACAGTGGCGCAGGCGACAGAGGCGGATCAAAAGACCTGGAAGACGAGATGGAAGAGAAAGAGCTGGAGACCGAATAGCGGCTGGCACTGGGAGTGGCCCCACATGAAGGCGGCAACTGACACCCGAATCGAGCAGAACCCGTAGACGGAGGGGAAGAGATGATCTCCGGGCACATCATGCCAGGAAGACACCCAGGCGAAGCTGCCCCTAATCAAAGAACGACCTCATCAACGTTTTCCTGGTTCTTGGATGCACCAATGCCCCAGACCTCATGAGCGCATTCGCTCGGCAAGAGGCCCTCGCATCGGCGCCACAGCGCCCACAGAAAAACAATCACCGATGTTTTTCTCATCGAACGAATGCAGAAGACCGCGCGCGCCACTCGCACCAACCTTGCGTTCGTCGTTCCACATCGACAATTCCATGAGCTCCGCGCGCACTGCGGGAGAAAATCTTCACGAAGGACTTGACGCGCAAACGTGCTGGGAGAGGCCAATTCCCACGACACCAAATGTCATTGCACGTCCTGTGGCGGTTGTCCAGCCACTTGCGCCCGTCATTGTTGAAGGCGGTCTGGAACTGGGATGCCTGCGCTGCACTCGGGAAGGTCAAGTGATACGACTTTCCCACGTTCGGAATGGTGACCTGGGCGTCCTGCAACAGGACGGGTATTTCTCCTTGATGGCACTCTGGAAATCTTGCCGTGCCGACTCCAATACAACGCGCGGCCAGGCACCAATCCACCGTGCACATGGACCAAAATCATACGCGTCATCACGACGTGGTTGCGGTTGGAACCGTGAACACGAGGACCGTCAGCAGAACAGCCATGCCAAGACTGGTGCCACCATCCGAAGCGGCAGAGCCTGTCGTGCTGAGGAGCCCACCTGGCTCATCAGCTCGAAAACCTGCCTGGCCTGAACTTCACGATCGTTCTTCATCTCAGTACGGAGGGCGTCAAGCCCACGACTGGTCGACTCCCGGGCCGTCTTCACATGACCGATCTATCCGTCTCGGTTCACCCGAAAATTGAAGCGTTGGTCGTGCTTGTGTGTAAAAACATGAAGGCCTCCTGCTGATCAGCGAGTTGTTTGGCAAGACCCGGCACCCAGCTCGCAGAAAAAAGTCGCGTCGCAGAAAGCCGGGTCAACTGCGCCCGTCATTTCAGCCTTCTTCCCAAGATTCGACATGGTTGACGGAAGTGGCTCGAAAGTAACGATGGGAAAAAAGTCCGCCTGAGTTTGACCTCAGGATGGTCCCTTCAAGGGGGACTGCCAACTCAGGTGCTGGCCCCACCGCGCATTTGAGCCAAAATGGCAACGGAGGGAGAAGGAGGGGGAGGAGGAGGAGGAGGAGGAGGAGGAGGAGGAGGAGGAGGAGGAGGAGGAGGAGGAGGAGGAGGAAAAGGCCGATTCGGGCGGAGGAGAAGGAGGATGTGGAGGAGAGGAGGAGAGGAGGAGACGGAGAAGGAGAAGGAGGCGTCTGCAACCGAGCGGTTCTGGCGTATCCGCCCGACAGCTCGTGGCGACGCCCAGCGCGTCCCCTCCCCATCCTCTTCCCACATAGACTCCTCCTCCCTTTTCCCCTTCCTCCTCCTCCTCCTCCTCCTCCTCCTCCTCTTTCTCCTCCTCCTCATCATCATCCACCTCCCTCCTCCATCCTCCTCCTCCTCCTCCTCCTCCTCCTCCTCCTCCTCCTCCTCCTCCTGTGTTGTGAGACTTGCGCAACATGTCACAGATGGGGCAGTCCTTTTCAGTGATCTCGATGGAACTCTCCTTGCTACAAACGATCGTGCGCGTTTCGCGCGCGAGCGCGCGCGCTGAAGTTCTACTCTCCTGAAGCTGGGCATTCAGCGCGGAAGAGGGGACGTGCCCAAATCAAAAGGAACTGTGGGTTTCGAAACCAACGCACTTGTCGCTCGAAATTCGGTTAGAGCCAGCGGTTTGGCCAGGGTGAGGGGTGCAGAACAAAGGCGCACGCGCAAGCATGTAACATATACTTCCCCCGCTGCTTGTGCCCCCAACCCCCGTGCCCTCCACCGTACAAAGGTAGCAGGGGAGGCGGAGAGTCAGGGAAGGTGGGAGTCAGGGGGGAGGAGGGTGAGGCGGGGGAAAGGGGAGTCAGGGGAGGAGAGAGCAGGAATGAGGGACAAGGGGGAAGGAGCGGGAGAGGAGGGTGCGCAGGAGGGAGAAATAAAAAGAGAGGAGGGTGCAAGGAGGAGGTTGAAGATGAGAAGGATGATTATGACAAGGATTAGGCGGAGGAAAAAGAAGGTTGATAGAGGATGATGAGCAGCAAGGATGAAGAGGACCACGGAGTAAGGAGTGATGGAGCGGGCAGGTGTAGGTCTCCTTTGTATTATTGTTCCTCTTCCTCCTCTTCCACAACGTTCCTCATCATCCGTCGTGGTGTTCTTGTGCAGCCGTCTCGGGGCTGTGTCTGGACCCCGGGGGGCCTGTACTGATCCTATATCAGGCCCTCTTTGACCCTCTGATGGCCTCTAGGGGGCATCTAGGCGCTATCGTGGGCCCTCTTGGGCTTTCATGTGGCCATCTTGGAGCCTCCGAGGGACATCTCGTGACGCTTGTGGGCCATCTCGGGGCCGTCTTGCTCCACGTTGGGGCCCTCTTGGGCCAGCTCGGGGTTCTCCAGAAGCTCCAGCGCATTTGATTTTCTTCGGCGGGCATCGAACGAAAGACGCACACGCCGCTCTCTCTCTCTCTCTCTCTCTTGCGCGCAGATGTAGGGCCGCGTGCGGTGATACCCAAACTGCGCAGCGTGTGCAGGTAACTTTGCCTTGCCGCGCTGTCACAGAAAGGTACCTCCCGCGGCGCCCGAAAGAATGGGGCGGAGCCGGCAGGAAACCAATTGATGGCTGAAAACCTGCATATTATCCGCCACCGTGCTGCAGGCACGAAGTGGAGTGCCCCAAGGCTCAGGCAGCGCTGAGAGGCACTTCGGGGGGCCACACGCGAACCCTACCCCTACCCCCCACGACTTCTGAGGGGGAAGGTGGGGGTTCACTTCGTTCGGGAGCTCCCGAGCGAAGTGAACCCCACCCTCCCCCTCAGAAATCTTGGGGGGTAGGGGTAGGGTTCGCGTGCGGCCCCCTTAATACTGGGCCAAGCGCTCCTGGACACTGCCTCTTGTGTCCCGCGCGGGCCTCCGGGACGCCCAAGACGACCCGAAGAACCCGCCAGGGTTCCTCAGAAGCCCTCAATTATTAGGGAGCCCACAAAGGACGTACGCGCCCAGCTATGTACATGAACACGGCCCCTCGATTCGCGAGACCGGCCGCGTTATACGAACATTTGTGCAATGCGTGCTCTCGAAACCAGCGTGGATTCATGTACATGTACGTCCTTCTTTCGCTCCTGTTCCCAGGCAGCCCCGAAGGCCACAAGACTGCCCGCGATGCTCTCCAGACGTAGAAAGAGGCCCCCGAGATGCTCCCCAAAAAGCTCCAGAAGCAACCCAAAAAGAAGGCCCCAAGAGGCAAAAGTCGTTCCAGTTCCTTGGAGAACTGATACATTTACAGCAGATTCGCCCCTGGAGCCTTCACAGCGTCCACGATGGACCAAGCGGCCCCCAAGATCGCCCCAAGGCAGCCCCAGAGGCCACCAAGAGGCCGAAAAGAGGCCCCAACAACATCCCCCAAGAGGCTCCGAGAGGCCTCAAAGCTGCCTCCAAGGGGCACTCCAGAAGCTTCCCCGGAGACCCCAACAAGCATCCACGAGGCCCCGACACAGAGAGGGTTTTCCCGCATGTTCCCGAACCCCTGATCCGCTGAGTGCGCACGGTGGCGGGATGGGCCGAAGGCCATTGGATCCGCCGCCCCCTGCTTGCAGGGGTGCACGGCGTGCTGGATGAGCTGTTAGGTTTTGGTTTTGGTTCTTTTTCCAAAAGAACTCCCCAGTGGGCTCCGGCAGAACCCGCCACCGTGCGCAAAAACGGCCGTTTCGCTCGGGACATCCTCAAAAAATCGCGAAGATGGCCCAAGATGGCCTCCAAGTCCGCCCGAGATGGTCCAAGACGGCCTCCAAAACGGCCCAAGAGAGTCCAAGACGGCCCAAGACGGCCCAAGAGGCCCCCCAGAGGCCTCCCAGACGGCCCAAGAGGCCTCCAAGAGGTCCTCCAGGAGAGTCCGAAGAGGGCAAAATCATTGATTTTCCCTTGGTTTTTGAAGGATTTTGGCATTTGCGCCTTTTCGGCTCTCCGACGGCTCAAGACGGCCCAAGAAGCCCCCAAGATCGCCCAAGAGGCCCCCAAGAGAGCCCCCTGATGGCCCAAGTGGCCTCCAAGATGGCCCCTAGAGGGCCCCAAGACGGCCCAAGAGGCCTCCAACACGCCCAAGATGGCCTCCAAGACGCCCAAGATGGCCTCCAAGACGGCCCTGGAGCGCCCCAAGAGGGTCCCCCGTTGGCCCAGACAGGCCCCCAAAACGGCTCCCGACGGCGTCAGACGTGCCAGGAACCCACCAAGATGGCCGAAGTTGGCTCGAAGCTGGCCCAAAAGGGCCCAAGAGGCCCCCAAGAGGGCCTCCAGGAAGGCCAAAAGATGCCAAAATCACTGATTTTCCCAAGGTTTTTGATGGATTTGGGCATTTCCCTTCTTTCGGCCTTCCGACGGCCCGAGACGGCCCAAGAGCCCCCAAAGATCGCCGAAAGATCGCCCAAGAGGCCTCCAAGACGACGACGATGACCATCAAGACGCCCACGTGTTCCCCGAAGGCTTTCCAAACCGATTCGGGGAACACATGGTCCGATGGCTTGGCAGGTCTGGCCTCAACGTTCGGCCACATAGGCGCTTCCACAAAGGCAGGGGGCGGCGGTGATTCGCCGTAGGCGTCTTCGATTCACACTGCTCCCCATAATGTGCCTGCTCCTTGCTATATCGCCTGGCCGACCCGGCGCGGCCCGCTCTCGAAGCTCACTCTACTCTGGCTCCTCGCCCTTGCACCCCTTGTGGAAGTTGTTGCAACAGTACTTGATCTTCTGGGGAGACCACGACAGCTCCAGGCAGTGCATGCAGTGGTGGTACCCGGCGTCGCAGTCGTATTTGTTGGTGTCCGGAGCGGGAGGCAGCCCCGAGGGAGGCAGCCCCGAAGGGGGCGGCAACTCCGAAGGGCAGCCCCGCTGGGCCGTCTTGCAGCAGTACAGCTTCTTCTCGCCAGACCAGCCGCGCACCCACTGCAGCGGGTCGAGGTCGTTGTATCCCGCGTTGCAGTCGATGGGGCAGGGAGACGTGGACGTGGTAGGGCACCCCTTGTTCTCCATGAGGCAGCACTGCACCTTCTTCGCCTGGTCCCACGACTCTGGGGCACCTTCGCCGCAATTGATTTTTTTCTCGGTGGTCGTGGGCGGCGGCGGAGGGGGCGGGGGCGGAGGCGGCGGCGGGGGCGGCGGGGGCGGCGGAGGCGGCGGGGGAGGCGCCTGCGTCGTAGTCTTCTTGGTCGTGGATGGCGTGGTCTCGGGAGGCGGTGTGGTTGTCGGAATGAACGGCGTGGTAGTCGTCGTCACCGTTGTCGTCGTGGTGCTCCCTGGGGCGAGCGAGAACAAGAGCAGCGGGAGCAGCAGCAGGGACAGCAGCCCCGGGATGAGGAGGAACAGGCAGCAATTGGGGCCGCGGCCGGGAATGCGAAGCACCCCGAACTCGCCCGCGCCCGCCCCCACGTACCTGTACGTTGTCTCCTGCACGTAGTCGCCCCCAGGGCCCACGTAGCTCAGGATCGTGCCACCTCCCGTGCCGCAGCCGCTGCCGCCGCCCACGCCGCCCCCCACGCCGCTGCCGCAGCCCGTCGCCTCGGCGCACCCCGCGCCGCAGGCGGGACCGCAGCCCATGGCGGCGGTCGTCCCAGCGCAGCAGGCCGTTCCACAATCGGCACCGCCGCCGTAGCCTGCGCCATAGCCAGCCCCATACCCAGCGCCGTAGCCGGCGCCGTAGCCCATTCCCGAGCCGTAGCCGGCGCCGTAGCCCATTCCCGAGCCGCCCCAGGCGCCCCCCGAGCGGTAATACGCCATGGCAAGGAGATCTGCAGAGACAGATAGGAGGCGGAAAGATTGGAAAAGGTGTGTGCCAAAGAGGCTCGCGCCAAAATGGTTACGGAGAGACTACTGCGCCACTTGGGAACCTGATGGAGGCTTCTTGGGGTCCTTCGGGGCGCTGTTTGGCCCCTCCGAGGCCCTCCAAGAATAATATGTAGTGTAACGTTTGCAAGAGTGGACACCTAACACAAAAAAATGTTGCACTGTGGACGTGCAAGCCATGTTGTGCAAGCTGTGGGATGCAATCTGCATGGCGCGATTCCTGAAATCGCGTTTGCACTAACGTCGGGGTTCTCCTTTGTCTTACTAGAGAACCGAAATCTATACACCGACGCGTTTTCCTGGCCCTGCACTGAAATTCGCACAGGAAAGCCAATCCTGGTGTATACAGGACCCTGGTGTATATATGTTTCGCTGGTTCCTGGGAAACGGCACACCGCCCCGACGCCGTCCCCGACCCTCAAGAAGTCCTGGGATTGAAAAACAGCCCGACACTGGTTATGTATACAGTCGGTCCTGATTAGTAGGTCGGCCCTGCCAAATCAGGTGTGCCCTTGCGACCTGCGTCTCGCAACCCATGCCTCCTGCATTCCCATGGCCGTGTGGCGATCGGAAGGGTCTTGTGTCCTCTCGCGTGTCCTGTCCGATCCAGTCCGACCGCATGTCCCAGTTTCCGCCGCACTGGGAAAATGGACGGATCCTCCGAGGTTTCGCTCTACGCTGCCGCCCGTGGGGGCCCCGCGCGCCAGGGGGGGTCCGCCAAGGCCTCGCCACGCCGCCACGCGTGGGCGCCCCGAGGGGGCGCCCACGTGCGCGGGGTGGGTCCGCCGAGGCGTCGCCATCCGAGCGCCCCTTGTGCGCCGGGTGGGCCCGGCGAGGCGTCGCCACGCTGCCGCCCGCGGGCGCCTCCGGGGGGGGCCCCGCGCGTAGACTGCGGAGCTCACACCCCGCAGGTTCTCGTTTCGGGCGGCGGATAGAGCTACCCCACTATGGAGCTCTCACCCCACACCCCACACCCCACACCCCACTATGGAGCTCTCACCCACCACCCTCCCCCCCCCCCCAGGTTAGCGGGAAGGCCCTGGGACACAGCAATTTACACCTCGACGCTCGTCTTCCACGTGAGCTCACACCGTCCCAGCCCAGACGAGTATCGATCTCCCCTCCCTCATTCCTGTCGGATAGTATCATGCGCGCACACTCGTTGATCTCAATAAAACGTATTCCGAAACATGCACACGTCCACACGCGCGGGCGCACACGTCGAAACCATACCTAACACATTAGTGCTGCAAACAATCCGACAAATTAGTATCAAAAACCTTGGCCTTTCCCTTACCAAGTGTTGCAGATGCCCTGCCCGCGCGCATGTGCTGAAATCGTTCGGAAACCATCCGATATTCTAGCAGGCTCGTCCCACACCGCACGGTGCATCCGCGTTGATCCAACATGAGCCCAATGCACGAATTCTTTTCAAATCGCAACATTGAAGGGACCCTGGGACACACAAAAAATACACACGAATGAAAGGATTCCACATATATTCTCATATTTTCTGGGTTTTCGTCTTCTCCCCACTCCCCATGTTTTCCCATATGTTCCTCGGGATCGACGATTCATTGTGTCTGTGTTTTTTCCCCTCCTGAGAGGCGCCGGCGCCGACCCCAGGCATCTGTTCCTCCAGCGGCGAGGTGACGGCACCGTCGCGAAGCAGCAGGCAAGGACACTCCCGGGCGCACGTCCCGCTGGCGCAGCAACAAGGATGGGCAGGACGGAGGCAGACGCTCGCAGAAAAAAGCACGGGAGCGCGCGTGCAGAGCCACCCGGGCATCCCACCGAGGAATTCTGCTGCAACGCTTCACGTGGCTCCCAAGGGCCCGAGAACGGCCCTTGGACAGAGGAAAGAGAACTATGCACATACACCGATTCTGGCCAGGCCCATCCTGAGCCCAGGGTCGGTGCATACGCCCTCCTACCTTGGCCAGGAAGGTATATGCACCGATCCTGGGTCAAGGATGGGCCTTGCCAGGATCGGTGCATGTGCATAGTTCTCTTCGCCCGATTGGAGACCAAACACGGCAAGAAACCCTGTCGGACTAGGAAGCTCGAGCCTCCGCCCCAATTCCTTCTGGCCCGAACCACAGCTCGGCCACCTCAGACCCCCAGTCGGCTCCAATGCAGCACGTTGCCGTGAGATTCCCTTTGCACCCTGGCTAGTGACCGTCGCTGGAGGCTTGGGAATGGACACCAACACCAAACCAGGAGGGTGCATTCACAGGAGGAAGCTGATCGTGGTTTCTGGTGCCGGTGGCAGTATTCCGGTCACCCAGGAAGTCCGGAATCCTGCCACCATCCCCGAGGTCGGGATCATCTTCCCTCGGTGCGAGGCGGGGATTTATCCATATCCACCGCCTGGGAACCGACGCCCTGGTGCCCCAGCGGGCGGTGGATATGGATATATATATATATAATATATAATATATATACCTATAATATATATATGTATATATATATATATAATATATATATATATATATATATGTTGGCCCCCGGGGGCCCGAATATGTCCATATCCACCGCCTGCCGAGGTCCCCGATAACTGACCCCCCGGGCGGTGGTCATGCCCAAAAGTTCCCGCCTCGGACTCGGTGGCGGCGCGACGCCGATGCCCGTGCTGGTGCCGATGCCCCTGGGCCTCCGACGCCGGCTCGGCCTCCCCCCCCCCCCCCGGGAGGCCCCGCGAGGGCGCCGCGCGAGGCCGGCGGGCCGCCGGGGCCCGCCCGTCGAGGCACGCCGCGGGGCCCTCCGCGCGCGCGGCGGGCGCAAAGCGGCCGAGGCCGGGCTGCGACGCCCGCGCGGGGAGGCGGCGCACGGGAGCCGCCCCTGCCATCTCGCCGGCGCTCGCGGGTCGACGCTGCGCGGGTCGGCGCTCGTCGACGCTCGTCGGCGCTGAGTCGGCGCTGAGCCGGCGCCGCTCGACGCCACATCGGCGCTTTCCCATCGACTGCCGGGCGCTGGCGCAGGCAAGTGCGCCCTGGGGACGGGCCTTCGAGGCCACAAAGGGCTCCCATGATCTGCAGCCAGATGCCCCTGCGCGGAGGGCGGGGCTCCCGGGGCGCAGTGCTGAAGAGCACGGCCGCGGCGCGATGCCGAGGGCGCAGGCGCCAGGCCAACACAGCGCGACGCCGCTGGCCGGCCCTCGGCCCGGGAGCAAGCGCGCAGCGGACGGCAAGCTTGGCATCCTGAGTCGTTGTTTGACGGCCCCAAGGTTAAGTCGGGCCTGTCCCCCTACAGGCCGATTTTGGACGGGAAAAACAATACCCCAAAAATGCCCTTAAAAATTCTCAAGAGTTGACAGAAAATAGTCCCCTGACTATTTGTTTGACTATGTTCGGATACTCCCCCAGTGAATGGACAGGCCCGACTTGCGCCCAGGGCCTGGTTACGGTCGGGCGCTTCGGGATAGCGTGTCGCCACGGCGGCCCCCGCGACACGCGATGCCTTGCGAGTGGATATAGCGTGTCGCTCCGCTCCCCGGCGCGGGAGGGCTCGGAGAGGCTCGGTTCCTTGACGCCTCGGGGCCGGGAGGTGGACAGCGGGTCGCTCCCCAGAGCGCGGTGGGCCAGAACCAGCCGAGCGGCACGCTGTCCAGATGCTCCCGACCGGAAGGTGGGGCGCACAAGGACAGACTAGCACTAAGTTGAGAGGCGGGGATTTATCCATATCCACCGCCTGGGAACCGACGCCCTGGTGCCCCAGCGGGCGGTGGATATGGATATATTTCGGCCCCCGGGGGCCGAATATATCCATATCCACCGCCTGCCGAGGTCCCCGAAAACTGACCCTCCAGGCGGTGGATATGGATAAGTTCCCGCCTCGGATCAGTTGTCCTCCTTGGGGGCGTGCGTCCGACCCAAGCATAGTGTAGAATCATGTTGTAGTATATCGTTTCCCGAGCGGCACGGCCAGAAATCGCGCGCCACGGAGCGTGTGCTATGAAGATGTCTCGGTGCGCGGGCGACGCGCACATGGTACTGGCAAGTTGGGGTGACGCCGATAAGCGCCCGCAGAGGGCGAAGATGGCCTAAAAATTCATCCGTCGTGATGTTGTTCAGAGCGCGAAGAGGTGCAGGAGAGCCCAGATACAAATCCGCCGACCCTGTCGGCGTGTGTGAGGGGTTTCTCCGTTCGACTCGTCGTCTCCGTCGTCTCCGTTCTCCCCCTCCCAGGGCTCTCCTCCTCAAGCGCGCTATGCAAAGCGAAATTAAGCGACGTCGTAGTGGAGTCGAAGGGAAGCCCCTTCCCTTTGATCCCTTCCCCGCAGGGGGGGGGGGAGGGGGGGAAGGGCCCGGGGCAGATACGACGCCCGCCGGGGCGCACTTTCCTTGAGCGGGCACGCACGGGATGCACTTCCTCCTCCTCCCCTCCTCCTCCTCCTCCTCCTCCTCCTCCTCCTCCTCCTCCTCCTCCTCCTCCTCCTGGACCTCCTCTCCTCCTCCTCCCTCCTCCTCCTCCTCCTCCTCCTCCTCCTCCTCCTCCTCCTCCTCCTCCTCCTCCTCCCTCCCCCTCCTCCTACTCCTCCTCCTCCTCCCGCAGAGGCGTCCCGGGAGAGGGCCCCGAGTCAAAATACCACCCCCCTAGGCGCATTTCCCTCGAGCGGGCACGACCGAGATGCACTTCTTCCTCTTCCGGGAGCACGTCCCAAGTCAGAATATCACACTCCCGGGGCGCACTTTCTTCGAGCGGGTACACAAAGGATGCACTTCCTCCTCCTCCTCCTCCTCCTCCTCCTCCTCCTCCTCCTCCTCCTCCTCCTCCTCCTCCTCCTCCTCCTCCTCCTCCTCCTCCTCCTCCTCCTCCTCCCTCCTCTCCTCCTCCTCCCTCCTCCTCCTCCTCCTCCTCCTCCTCCTCCTCCTCCTCCTCCTCCTCCTTCCTCCTCCTCCTCCTCCTCCTCCTCCTCCTCCTCCTCCTCCTCCTCCTCCTCCTCCTCCTCCTCCTCCTCCTCCTCATCCTCCGCCTCCTTTCCCCACTCCTAGCCCTTTCGATCAGGGTCTGCGGCACCGGCCGTCAGGCCTCTCCAATCGAGAAGTCGGATCGGCGATCGACATGAATCGGATGGGCGGGAATGGGCAGCCAAGCCGGGAGATGTCGAATCGGCGGAAATCGGCAGGCTGGTGAGGCCTCCATTGAGAAACCGACACCCAAATCGGAATCCGAAGCCGAATCGGAATCGAAATCGATCGCAATCGGATCGAATCGAATCAGAGGGAGCGCCATGAGCCCTGGAGGTGTCGGCCTGGCCCTGCAGGGGGCTGGGCGCCGACGTCGCTGGCCGTCGGCCAGAAGACGGCCCTCGGCCGAGAGACGGCAGCACGCAGCCCGCCGCAGCGCGCAGCGGAGGGCCCTCGAGGCTCGGGCTCGGCACCGCCATCGCGCCGGAGCGGCCCGCGACGGCGCCCCGGAAGCTCGTGACCTCCCCGGGCACGCTGCCGAGGGCCCCGAAGGTCCGCGCCTGGGCCCAGCACTGGGGCAACAGCCGCGCGAGACGCGTCGGGTACCCGAAGGTGCGCGCCCCCCACAATCACGCTGGGAGGACCGGCTGTCTCGAAGCACCTCCAGAGTGCGGTACGGTCGCCAGCACGTCGCCCCGAGACTGGGCCCCGGACGTGATGGCAATCGGCTGTGCCTTCCAGGGACTTGGAGACGGGCCGCCGGGCACGCCTCCGTAGTCGGACCAGGCCGCTGAAAAGCCCGATGAGCCGCGACCCTCCGCCGTCTTCGATCGAAGTCGGCGAAGCCGCTCGCACACCAGCACTGGACAGGGCCAGAACCAGGACTCCGCTTGTCCATCTCGCTGCCCGCTGCTTTGCAGGGCTGGGAAGGCCGCCCGCGGCGAGCGCGGGCTCGACCTGGGGCCCTACCGTGCCAGCGCGGCGGGGTCAGCCCAGGCGCCACCGAGGGAAGCATCGCACGCCCACGCCTGCCACCCTCCTGCTGCACCGACCTGCCCACGGCCTGCACCCGCACACGACGCGCTGCCCGCGCACGGTGATGCCGGCCGGCTCCCAAGCGCTGTGCACGAGGTCTGCACCCAGCTGGCCGGCCACTGCGACCCACCGGGCGGCCCGCCCTGCCGTGGACAGCCCGCCGCGCTCGTGCACGGCCCTGCCAGGATCGTGCCCGATCGGCGGGCCCTCGCCGCGGCCCACGGCACGGGCCTCGGCCCCGCCCTGCCCGCCTGGCGCCGGCGGCGGGGCGGGCTGCTGCAGGAGCGCCTCCGCCCCGACGAGACCCGCGCGGGCGCCGAGCACGCGGGCGGCCCAGCGGGGCCGCCGCGGCCCGCGCGGTGGCCTCTGGGGCAATCACGCGGGCCGAGGCCGTGGGCCCCCACTGCAGCCTCCTGCACCCAGTGCTGCGCGCGGAGGGGCTCGCCGCTGCTGCGGGGCCGCCGCGACGGAGGGGATGGCCCTGCCTCGGTGCCGCGGGGAGCGAGCGTGCGCCATGGCGGAGCTTTAGAATGAAGCGGTCGCGGACGCGACGCCTTCTGCAGTCGTGTCCGTATCGCTGGTGTTGGGGACCCTCGAACAGATGTCAGATGTTCATTCTCCTCCTCCTCCTCCTCCTCCTCCTCCTCCTCCTCCTCCTCCTCCTCGACCGCTTCTGCCTCCTCATCCTCCTTCTCCTCTTCGAGGTCCTCCTCCTCCTCCTCCTCCTCCTCCTCCTCCTCCTCCTCCCCTCCTCCCCCCCTCCTCCTCCTCCTCCTCCTCCTCATCCTCCTCCTCCTCCTCCTCCTCCTCCTCCTCCTCATCCTCCTTTTCCTTCCCTCCTTCCTTTTCACTCTTTCCTGCTCTCTCTCCTTCCCGGCCCCCCGCGCCTCGTAGAAGATAGCTGTGCTGACGATGGGGTCCTGACCCTCGTAGAGATCGCCAGCCTGCCGCATCACGACACCGCTCTCCCCGCCGAGGAGGACGGCGACGACAACGACGACGACCACGACGACGAGACTCCTTCTTCCCCTTCTGCCCCGGAGGAGGAGGAGGAGGAGGAGGAGGAGGAGGAGGACCGAGAACGAGCACGAGAACGAAGGCAAGGACGAGGTCGAGGGCCGAGAACGACGACGACGATGACGACGACAAGAACAACAACGACGGCGGCGGCGGGCAGGCGGGCGGGCGGGCGGGCGGCGCGGCCTTGACGTAGCGGTCGAACGCCAGCGACATGTCAGCGAAGTTCTTGTCCATCACGTCCCCGTTCTGCTGCTGCGCCGCCTCAACGGGCGGGGGGGCCGAGGGGGAACAGGAACGGGAATGGGGAAGGGTCGAGAAGCAGCTCTAGGGGTCGACAACGGGCGGGGGCGGGGGGCGGGGGGCGGGGAGAGAGCGAACCGGTACCCCCGGAGCGTGGGGAGACAGGTCACATTCACAGAGCAAGGTTGCTGTTCATCCTGCTCCTCCTCCGACTCTGCTTCTTCTTCCTTATTACTAGTATGATTGATAATATGAGAAATCTTATTATTCGTATTACTAGTAGTATTACTATTAGTATGAGAATGATCAGTATGTTTCTTTCTTTTCTTCGTAGTATGAGCATTATTCTTCTTATCAGTATCAGCATCATCATCCACAACGTTATTATCATCATTGGTAGTATTATTAATATTGGTAATAATATTAATATGACGTCATTATTAGTGCTCTTATTATTCATATTCAGTTGCGTGTTCGTCTTCGTATTCTTCTTATTCCTCCTCCTCCCTCCTCCACCGCCTCCTCCTCCGCCTCTTCCTCCTCCTCTTCATCCTCTCTCCTCCTCGTCCTCCTCCTCGTCCTCCTCCTCGTCCTTCTCTTCCTCCTCCCCCCCCTCCTTCTCCTCCTCCTCCTCCTCCTCCTCCTCCTCCTCCTCCTCTTCCTCCTCCTCCTCTTCCTCCTCCTCCTCCGCCTCTTCCTCCTCCTCCCCTCCCCCTCCTCCATTTTTCACATACATAACGTCTCCCTGTCGCGCCCCGAGGCCAGTTTTTAGAGCGGACGAGGCGTTTCGCCTGAGACTTCCTCACCATCTATGACTCTGAAATTTTAAAATTGGCAACCTTTTCACAGATGGAAGGCGGGCGGTCTTCAAAATGTGGTTTTCGCCTTAGCGCCGCGCACATGCGTTTAAAAAAATTGCAAGAGCTTCACGGATTGAGGGCGGGTGACTTTCAAAGTTTGGCTCTCGCCCCAGCGACGCGAAAATTTGTTTAAAAAAAATACAAAAATGCCACGCATTGAGGATAACCCGTTTTCAAATGTGACTCTCGCCTCGGCGCCGCGCACATCTGTTTTAAGTACACCAAAGAGAAGCCCCAATCAGTGGATGCTTTGAAAGGGGATCGATAAGGAGATCGATATGGAGATCGACCAGGAACCCAAGAACCCAAGGGAATCCGGAACCCACCGAAATCGGCCCGGAACCAATGACCAGGAACCTGGAACCCGGAACCGGGAACCTGGGAACCCAGCCGGCTACCAAGATCGGCGAGGAAACTGTCGCCAAATCTTTCAACTTCCGCTAGGACCCCTTCAGTGCAGGCACTGACTATTAGTCAGTGCAAGCACTGACTTTTGTTACTGTTTCCTTGAAGGAAAAAGTAGAAAAAGTTTCACGGATTGAAAGCGGTTCCTTGCCAGCATGTGGCTCTCGCCTCAGCGCCGCGCACAGTCGTTGATAACATGTGCCAGAGTTTCACGGACTCCTTTGATCAACATACCAGAAATGGCGTTCTGGAAGGATTCAGGACTTTGCGGGTGCAACAGTTACAGTGATTCGCGGTGTTGAAATCCCAAGAATGGCGTTCTGGCACGATGCAGGATCGTCGAAGCGCAACAGTCAGGTTGCTCCGAAGCGTTGAAATCCCAAGATCAATGTTTTGGCATGCTTTCGGGTCTCCAAACAGTTGTCTTCCAACGACGCAGCTACCTCAATGGAAATGAACCACTGTAGGGGCCTATGAAGAAGGAGCTTGGAGGAAGGGTGTATCCCAACCTCGTTGACGGCTCTTGGGTTTACGTACACTGGTACTCCTCCTCCCCCCCTCCCCTTCCTCCTCCTCCTCCTCCTCCTCCTCCTCCTCCTCCTCCTCCTCCTCCTCCTCCTCCTCGTTCTCGTTCTCGTTCTCGTTCTTCTCGTCTCCTCCTCCCCCTCCCCCTCCTCCTCCTCCTCCTCCTCCTCCTGCTCCTCCTCCTCCTCCTCCTCCTCCTCTCCCTCTTCCTCCTCCCCCTCTTCCTCCTCCCCCTCCTCCTCCTCCTCCTCCTCCTCCTCCGCCTCCTCTCTCGTCCTTCTCCTCCTCCTCGGGCCCTGACGGCTGGAAATGTTGATTCGACACCAAGCAGGGGATGGGCGGCTCAAAATACTGACGACGGATGGAAAGCACACTGGCGGAAGTGGGAAACAGAAGAGACGAATCAGAAGAGTCGGCGAGGCCGAAACGTTGGCCCACAACCGCGCGCGGGACCAGCGGTGACGACGAAGCTGTCAGGGGGCCCCTTGGCATTCGAGGCAGCAGGCCTTGAGCGCCTTATCTGAAGGGGCCCTGGGACACACAAATAAATACACACAAATAAAATGATTCCCCATATTTTCCCATATTTTCTGGATTTCTGTCTTCCCGCCCAATTCCCATATTTTCGCATATTTTCTGGGGAGTCGACGATTAATTGTGTCTGTGTGTTTCTTTCCCTCCTGATTATCACGCAGTCTGACACTCGCGATCGGCGCACCTGAAAACGCCCGCCAGGCTGCGCCTCCCAAGGCAACAGCAGACTTGACCACTTCGACTTCCACAGGGCCCCAGCACACGCCTCAAGAGGAGGCTGCGCGTCGGGAAACTGCTGACAAAGGCGACCGGTCTAGTCCAGGGCCAAGCTCACAGGAAAGAGAAAAAACGCGTTATGCTGAGATCCTTGGACTTCAACCTTCAAAGGGGGGGGGGGGGGGGCGCGGGTCGCGCCGCGTCTCCCTTGCATGAGCCTCGGCATTGTTCGCAAGCCGGCCGCGCTGGCAGCGCGATGTTCGCACTGACCAGGAAAAAACCCAGCGGCGCAACGCAACGGACACAACTGGGGACTTCCCAGAAGCTCGGGAAAAAACTCTTGCACCGTCCGATCACCAGGAGTGGGAGTCACCTCTCATCTCCGCGCTCTAGCACGGCGAGCAGAAGCTTCCATTCGGGAAGGGCGGCAGCGGCCGATCACGTGCGAAAGTGACCGCGCAACGCGATTCAGCGCTCTCAATCTTGGGGCCCGCCCCCAAGAACTCAGCGCAATGGGGGGCGATCGAAACAGGGCGCCGCATGGGCGGGGGAAGACCGAGGCGGAGGGCGCGCGCACACCGACGATGAGAAGGGGCGCCAGGGAGAGTAAGAGGGGACTGGAAAACCGAGCTACATCTGATCATCTGATGGCGCGCGACCGGCTCGCCCGTTGCATAAATGATCGGCAGCTCCTGCGGGGCAGCCCTCGCGGGCGACCTGAGCGGCAGAGGCTGCCCATCTGGCGGGCTGGAGCCGAGCCTCGCGAGGGGCCGCGGGCCCGGGACCACGGCCGAGATACTCCGCGGTCGCAGAAATTCGAAAACCTGCCCCTTCGGGGAAGCTGCTATGCTTCCAGGACCTGCAGAACCAAGCCCCGGGATCGTTGAAGGGTTCTGACAGGGGACTACCAATCACTTGCTAGTTACGAAACTCAGGCCAGCGAGTTCACGGCGATGGTCAAGGCGCGCGTTTCGTCTGCCTAAGCTGGCGCATCTCCTCCACCGCGGCCCCGGCGTCGTCGGCGCATGCCTTGACTGCCGCGAACCGTCTCCGAGGCCCCTCTGCACTCGCGCGGGCGCGCTGGCAGGGAGCTGGCATCCCGGGCGCCTCTCTGAACTCGGCAACGAATGGGCGACTGCTGATGGCTCGGAGAGAGACCCTGAAGCGCAGCAACCTCGAATAACCCCCAATAGAGAATGAAGGGGCAGAGGAACATTGCGGCGCACTCCAAAGCAGAACGCGTTCTGGCAGACGCGTCAAATGACGGGGAGGAGGCAGCTGGATGGAGGCGGCAGCTGGATAGACTCAAGAACTTCGAATATCCACGCATTGGCGACCGACGTAAGGTCAAACCGAAATCCGACAGTCGCAGCGCCGGGGGAGAGATGGCCGCGAAAGAACCCACTCTCGCCATCCGGACGCGGGCGTCCAGATCGAGAGCGTTCACCCCGAAGTTGCGGACCTGCACGAACCCCCGCTGATCGCGATCCTGCCCGCGTCGGAAGTCTTACACGAAGCTCAATGCCGGGGCGAGGGCCCCTGAAACCGCCGGCACATCAACTGCAACCTCGCGTCGGGGGACCAGGACAGCGAAGCCCGCATCGCCAGCGACACCCGCGAGCACCGTTCCCGGCGAGGCCATGGCGCCAGAGTTCAGCCTGAAAATGAACGGCGATACACTTCCTGTCATCCTAGGGAGGGCCCCAAGTTACGCGCGCTGAAATGGCTGACCCATGCGCCCCTGCTAGACACAACCACAAGATTGCCAGCCCCCCAGGAAACAGAATTCTGAAATCGGCGCACGGGGCCTTCCCACATAGAAAGCTAAGTTCGGAAGGGGGCGCCACTGCGCCTCCAGCCTGAGAAGAGACACAATAACTCGGCGCAGCCGGCGCCTCCTCGCGGCGACGATTGGGCACGATTTCCACCTCTGACCCGCGGCATTTCGCCGCGCAAGAATGGCGCCCGCAACCGGGAGCTTCCCGAGGGCCATTTCTTCCTGATCCCCCAAAAAATAAGCCATGGCGAAAAGGGCCCCGAGTGTTCCAAGTAGTCGAGGAAGCTTCTGGTTCTCGCGATGCTAGCCAAGCCGCGCGGCAAACAGACGCACGCTAAAGACACACTCTGTCGGCATCGCCCCGCCAGCGAACGCGCGGCCCACCTTGGCTCGGAGCTGGCGGACGCCCGCGCCGACGGCCCACGAAATGCCGACAGCGCAGTGAACCACGGGTTGCCCACGTCCCCCTCTGGGCTACACTTTGAAAATAAACGTCGAAGCAAAGGTTTTCTTCCCTCGCAAACGCGCGACAAGCCAGACCCCCCCCCCCCCCGACGCGGCCAGCGACCCCTGCAGGAGCCAAAACGTCGGCGGGGAGAGGCAGGAGAAGCATGCCAGCGCCCATTATCAACACTACCTCCCCCCCTTTTTCCTCGACGCCGCGACCGGGCCCCAGCGACCTCGGCGCCGCGCGGCGGCTGCCA